ACAATTAACCTACTTTTATCTACTTTTACATACTTTTATCTATTCATATAGGTAATTATATGTATGTCCGTGACAATAACACTAATTGTGTTGCAACTATAACTCTTTGCTTCATATATTGAACTTAAAAAATTACAATATATTAATTAAATTTAATATAGTATAAACTAAGGCTAATTTACTATTGCATAATTTTATAAATCTTAATTAATTCCAATGTAATATCTTAATATGATAGCATAACATCAATTAGATAACTACTTGTCTCTTATCTTAACTATTATAATTTTTAATTATTATAGGCTAATCAATTTTCTTATTAAAATAATTTTACAAACTAACTTCTATACTTGGAAGTATAATTATAAAAGAAAAAAAATATTTTGTAACCAACTTGTTCTTGTTGGAATATCTCTCTAATTAGAATATATTTTTCACTAAATTTCTACTACATTTATAGGATGTTTGATTGTAAGTACTAATTAAATAATAATAATTTATATGATGTTCTATGTTAATTTAATAATCTATTTTTAATCTCACTAAAAATTAACTAAGCAATTTAGAATCACAAAATTATAAAAAAAATAAAAAATAAAAAATAAATTATAAATTGAAAAAAATAAAAAATAAATAAAAAAGCTTTAATCCTAATTATTGGAATCTTTATAAACATCACCTTCTATTGACTATAAATTAATAGAAGAATTAGATAAAATCAATCATTGGCCTTATTTTTGGTGTATTGTCTTGAGACTTATTAAGCTTTCTCTTTGTATTAGAATTCATATTTTTAATCAGAATTACATGAATATCTTACAAAAATTAGGTGATATACATCAATTCCAATAACTTAATCATATATAATTTGTAAAAGATAGCCATATTTATGAAATATTTTATAGTAGCGTAACTTACCAAGTTTAAAATTTAGGTTTAAGATTTATAATTTAGGATTACATAGATATTTCCAATCTTTTTATTTTTTTATTTTTAGATTATGACTCGATCTACTTCTTTTTTCTTATACCTTTATGACATCCATAATTTCAATAGTGTAAATAATTTCTTATACAAATTTTTAGTTGTTAAATATAGCTACTTTAATTTGGTATTTAGGATTTTGACTTTTGATATAAAATAGTTTTTATAATTTTAAAATCACCATTAGATCTATTTAAAGTTTTTCCATTCTAAAGATGTCATTGAATTGTTCTTAAAGTATATAGATTTGTAGATATTGAGTATTTGATCAATTTCGTTTTTTAGTTGATTTTGCAAATAAGAAGGGATTTTGAAGTTTTGATTTGACCTAGCTTATTATTTTGGAGGTCTAAAAATCTTATGGTAAATTTAAAATGCTTTATAATTTTTTAAATTTTCATATATAAGGCTTTTGGTGTGATATTTTTTTTATTGACTTTTTTTTGTACTTTATCATTTCAAAATTTTAAATTGATATATTTCTTTATTTGCTATTCTTTTTTATTCTAATAATATGTTTAAAATCTTTAAGAAATCTATAATTTAGAAGATATGAGGTTTTCAAAATTATAAAATTAGCCATTATTTATAAGTTTTAAAATTAATTAATTAAATAAACATGTAAAAATTTCTTAATACTTTAATAATGAAATAGATAAGTTATAAAGGTATGTGTTTATTTTAGTTTCAAAATGTCATATTTATACTACTTATATATATATGTATATATATATATATAATAAACTTTATAATCTATGTTCTAAGCCTATGCAATGGATTATAAATAGTCACAAAAATTCGCATCATATTCTTCAATAAAGTGGTGAATTCTTCCAACACAATGTTCATAGACTCTTTTATTCTTCCAATATCCACCACCATTAGACTTCTTCAACTTCACTCCATCCACACATTTATCTACCACCACACTTTAAACAAATCAATGTACATTGTGAAGAAATTCAACCTAAACCATCAAATACATGTACTTGTTTGAGGAAACATTATATGATTCTCAATTGTGTACTTCAAGTACACAATGCAATACTTTGAGTGCACTTGCTTCACTCAATTACATCCACTTTTGAATTGTCAGTGTAGTTTCCAATCCACAATCGTAGATGAGCTTCGTCTTACTCCTAAAACCTTCTGAAATCTGGGCAAATTTGTGTGGTAACAATGCATTATGTGCCTCGGCAGCTTGATCAAGAATTTCTTCTGAACAAAAACCAGGTTCGAAGAATACAGATTCTATTACAATAGAATCAGACAAGTTTGCTGATGTCCAGTACCAGCACCATCCATGCTGTTCATTTTTTTGTGAACAACTCCAGCAAGTAGTAACAATTTCGAGTACTTCGACACGATTAGCCGTCAAACAATAAAGATTCGGCATCGAGAAGCAGCACTGCTCCTTAAATAACCAGTTACAGTATAGGTTCTACAAAGCACTCATTTAACGATGAAGGGAAAAAGTACTTTTTTCTAGAAGGAACTGACTTTTCGTTTATAGATGAATCAGACATCAGCTGCAGACGATGTCCTGGATCTGCAGCCAGCTTTACCGAGACCGTATTTTTGTTGAAATTTCTGCTTACCTATCAACTCGTATCAAGGGTAGCATTACCTCTGTGCAGAAACCACAAGGAAGAATCAGAAACTCAAAATATTTATAGATGTATTCGGTACCCCAATGACATTGCTTTTGCCAGGTAGGCAGCAGCTATCATGTGATCCACATGCAGAACAAACAGTAGTTTGTCGCCGGCCCGGGATCAAGAATTATATACCAAGAATAAGCCCTTATTCTCGGAATGATAGGCATTTCCTGGAAACGAAGCAGCTATGAGTGTTTAACAGCGTGGCCACCACGCTATCAACATCGATTTAAATATTCAGCAATCTACACTGTTCAAATTCTCATGAAATAGCAAATAATTGCAGTGATTGATGCAAGTTCCAAGATAGAGACCCGTAAGTTTCTGCTGTTATCTCGCTTGTCAGCCACAAACCAACATTTGAGCTGGTAGAAACATCTGGAGCGCAAGTTCCATAAAGGAAGGTGGGGGCGGGGGGTAGGGGCACATTGACCACTATATTTTAATTGCAAGCCTAATTAACACACCTCTATGGTCGTTGAACGCAAGACGGGCAGAAGCTTTGAGAGCCCGAAACTATGGAGTCACTGTTTGGGCTGACCAAATCAACCAGTAATCCCGAGGAATCACTTCCACGTGATCAGCACTCTTTCCTATTTGCGCGAGTTCGAATACGCACTCGACTGCAGCTTCTTCGCAGCCCAGCCACGCCACGCAAACGAAACTGCACTTTAAATCCCTCCCCCCTCGAAAAAAACAGGACGCCCTGGTGCTTCGACTTTCTAATGACGCGACTTTCAGAGCGCAAGAACCAACATAACACCACGTACAACCTCAATCTCCACTCGATTCATCCTAATTTTCACGTATTATTCCCTCACAAACTCTTCCCCAAGAGATGAAACGGCAGCACACGGCAGGTCCAGCACCAATCCGCCATACCTTTGAATCCACATCATCCAGGCACGAGCAACAAGACATTGTCACGGTGCTTCATCACACGATAGACTTATTCTCCCATCAACTTCATGTGCAATGAACGTAATTTCAGCGCCGTAACTTTGGGTTTCGTAAGGTTGCGTCGACAACAACAAGGAAGGCGAAATGCCATGAAAGCTCCCAGATCTTGCTTCGATGCACGAACCCCAATTGCACGGAGAAAGTCCATCGCCGTTGTGCTCGTTGGCCTCGGACGCAGCGCCTCGCAGGGAGTGTCCACTTGAAGGAAATCCCAAAAAGTAAAAAGTGGGGAGGGGGGGGGATGTGATCCTGGGCAATCAATTTGTCTGTATTGAGTTATGCCATGTTCCTCCATATTAGTACTTGAAGAACCATTTGTTTTTCGTTTGCATGTGTATAGATTGTATCATGCAACGTGCAACTTTGCCCTTACCCTCTTTAACTTATTGTTTGATTTCTCTTGACCCCCATAAAGTTTTTGAATGTACAAGCTTAATTTTAGATGTATATATTACACACCACTTTTTAAATAATTATTAAATAGTATACATGAAGAATATAACTGTGCACAACTACTGATTGTAATGCAATCAATCTTTTATGCAAAAATAAATAATTCACAATCAAATTTTTATCCGGCTTTTTTTTTTTTAAATAAAGAATAGTTGTTTACTTTACTTTCACACGATTTTTAATTTTTTATGTTGTTCGGAGTTTTTTTGTTATTGTTGCAGGCAAGACTTCAAATTGTGTTTTGAAATAAAGTTTTCAGGAATTATTCATTCTGTGTAGTTCTGATGAATTAAATAAAGATATATTTACAAAATAAATTGAAAAAGCAATCTTACAGACTTGTAAATTTGCAGATTTCAACAATTGAAATTTGTTTCGTTACTTCACAAATTTAATCATTCGTGAGAAATTGGTTGTTCTTTGACAACCTTTTGCATAAAAATATATGATGTGTTGTAATACTGCATGGTTCCTTCAAATATCCAAATATAAAAATGTTCCAAACACCACATTGTACATTTCATAACTCATTTTTCATTCACACTAAGATAGAGAGACATAAAATAGTAATAATAATAATAATCTTTAGGAGGCTCGTACCACCACCAACAATAATATTCTTTCAGTTGCTCTCATGCCCGGCAATGGATAAGTTCAATTACGTGTCAAAATATCACAAATTCCCCTTTACCGCCAACCTTGTGCAGACAGACCCACATACCCGTTATTGAGACTCGGATTAGCGCAGGGTATCAACAACCCCTTGGAAGCTACATTTCAATGGGTCTGAACGCGGCGGCGGAAAGTCAATGCAGACTGACCGCGTGGGGGAAAGTGCGTACCGCGAGGGGGCAGCTGCGTTGCCTTCCTGCCCAAGTCTCGTCACGGGCACTTGGGCTCTGCCCCTGAAAAAAAACGATGCCTTCCCGCAGCTTCAAGGTGCCGGCGGGCGCGCTTAACGGGGGGTTTTTTTTTCGAGCTTCGAGGGTCGAGAGCGAGAGATTGAGCAATCTGGTGCGATTGTGTCTCTTGTAATCTGCCCATGAGAGTCACTTCGTTGCCTCCACCGCCTCCTTTTCTCTTTCTTGTCGTTACTTCTCTGTATGTGGATTCTTTTGGTGGTTTTCGCGTTTCGTTTGGCGGTGTGTGGTGCCATATCCATTCCCCAGGGTTTCGGGTTGCCGGACGCCGTGTTTGTTGCTAGTTTGTAAGCTTGGTCGTGTTCTGGAGAGGTTTGGGCTGCTTGACTTACGGTTTCTGTCTCGATTGCAAAGAAATCGTCAGTCGAAGCTCCAGCTCCTTCGAAGCTTGCGGTTTACGTGGACGTTTTTCTTATTTTTTCGGTTTTCAAGGGGGATAGTTAGTGGGAGGAGTTATGGCTCAGCGATTGCCTCCCGGTTATCGCTTTCATCCTACTGATGAAGAGCTTGTTGCGTATTACTTGAAATACAAAATCAATGGGAAGCAGATTGAGATGAACCCCATCGCTGTGGTAGACCTCTACAAGTGCGAGCCATGGGATTTGCCTGGTATGTTTCGGTTCAAATCTATGTAATTTCTACGTTTTTTTTTTAACATTATTAGTTAGTTTCTAATTTATTTGGATGTTGGAGTGGAACCAATTTTCGTTCTTGCTACCTGTTTGCAGTGAAGTCTGGCGTTGGAGGCAATGATCAGGAGTGGTACTTCTATAGTGCTCGGGACAAGAAGTACCCAAATGGTGCCCGTACCAACCGAGCCACGCAGCGTGGCTACTGGAAGTCTACCGGCAAGGACCGGGTTGTCAAGTGTGCGATTTCGACTGGTATGAAGAAGACCCTTGTTTACTACACAGGGCGAGCTCCACGCGGCGAACGCACTGATTGGGTCATGCACGAGTATAGAATGGAAGATAGAGTGTATGAGAATTTAAGAGGGCCTCAAGAGCCTTACGTTCTCGCCCGTGTCTTCAAGAAGAGCGGGTCTGGTCCAAAGAACGGGGAGCAATACGGTGCCCCGTTTATCGAGGAACCTAGCAGCCCTCTCTCTGGTAATGGAGGAGAGACTTCTGAGCCTTATGAGCAACCTGCCGTTGAGTATCCTCTGCCACTGCTGAAGGTCGAGCCTGGCCTTTCACCACAGTTGGAGAATTATGGAAATGAATGTGAATCTCCGTATTTCAATAACATGGTAGGTAATGTAGTTCTTCCTGCAGACGACTGTCCAGTTCGCGGATTTTCTTTAAAAATTGCGATTGGTTTCATATAGAATTTGATTTGTCCATTTTTGTTGTCATGATTACTGACACTTCACAAACTTCGTGTAACTTGCAAACTTGTTCTTTTCTAGTGTTAGTGTACGTAGGACTCTCTTGTGTATCGTTAAAGGTTCCGTTCTTAATCCAGCGTTGTGGTTCTCTATCTCCAGTGCATGCAGGAGCTGGAAGATCTCATGTTCAGTGAATCATTCGATACGGATGTTCCTAGGCTTGCGAATGGCGATTTAGATGGGGTTTCTATCGGCTCCCCCACGTCTGTGCAAGATGGATTCAGGTGGGAGGATCTTTTACCTGAGCAGCCTCAGGCTACTACCGAGGACGATACATGGAAGGACCTTGTAATTAACAATGTGGACGAGCTCTTGTCAGGCAATGACCGTTTCATTGCCGATGGCAGTCTTGGTATGGGCACAACACAACATGTGGTGCACGATACGGATGATCTGCTTTCTGGTCCTGGGGATTACTCAGGTGATGGCGACTTTTTGGAGATCAAAGATTTGATCAATCTTGAAGATGATATTGACGTCTCTGGCTCAAATATTTCGGTTGGTGAGTATGAAGGATTCGACTTCAGTGCTTCTGCAATTCAATTGCGACCTCCAAGGATCGTTCAATGGCCGATGCAATTTGACCCTCAGGGTGAGACTTCTCGACGAATGTTGTTGGCGTGTCGTCCTGGAAGCCAGCCGGAGCAGTTTTCTAGTACTTTGTCAGCCCCAAGGATCCTCCATACCAGTGCGTCTTCTAGAAATTTGTCGGATTTTGCTGATCGCGCGATATCCAGTACTGGTCTTCACACATCTGCAGAAGAAGGGTGGTCAAATGACGGAGACCTTGTGACTTTGGCGCGCGAGGGTTCTGGTTATGTACCAGATGCAGGTATTAAAAGTGGTTAAGCTATTATTGCCGATCAGATCAACGTGTTAGATATTCTAGAAACTGTGATAGAAGTAAAGACCTTACTCTATGTGGAGTTCATTTATATGTTTAGACCAGCTACAGACGGTTGGCCAGCTTTTGCCTCGGTCTGGTTCAGAATATCCAGGTTACTAATCCGAATTTTTGGTAGGTAGTGGATCAGAACCCCAAGGTCGATGTGTAAGTGTCTTCTGCTGTTCGTCAAGAGCCCTTCCTGATAACTGAGTGGATGTCACGGGAAGCTTCAGATAATACGGATTGTGAAAACCTACCTGTAGGCTAGGCTCTCAATTGGAGAAAGCATCATCCCAGGATATTGATGGGATGTTCTCCGTTTTGCAGATTTTGGGTCGAATGTTGAAGGTACGCAGTCTTCTTCAAGCTTTGTGGATCCGGAAGATGCAGGCATTGTTGCTCCTTCTTGGGGCGCTGGAGGTGATCCGGTGTCAGATTATCCAGCTACTTCTACAGAGTTTTCCTCTAATTACTGGGAGACGTGTGGCTCCGATCCCGTCCCTCAAGCTGCAGACATTAAACAGAAAGCATCTGGGAAACTAACTTCAGGATTAAGTAGTCTCTTGACACCAATTCTTCCAGCCTCAGCTGCTGAGCTACCCAGCTTCTCTAATACTTACGTGACAGCTTCCGATACACATGTGACTGCCTTAACCATTACCTGTTCATGCTCTGAAAATGGTGCGAAGACTGTGCAGGCTGTTATGATGAACTACGCTGGAGGGAAATTACACCAAGAGACGATGTCTGGAACATGGAAACCTTGCACCGAAGATTGCAAACTACAAAATTGTGTCCATTGCAGCCAAAGAAGAGCATCTCAAAGGCAATTAGCGAAGGGGTCTAGAAGTGGTTTTGTGTATGTTTTCTTGTTGGGAGTTGTCTCAGCTATTATCTGGTTTTTGTTGTTGCGAGGCTCATGGCGGATAGCACAACATTTGTATAATCTGATTTTGTAACTTCCACTTCTGCTCCTAGTTTGTAGATATTTTTTTAATATCTGAGCTGTACATTTACCACTTGTCTAGGCTAAATTATGTATAGTAGTTTCAATTTCATTGCCATCAGGTCAATTCAATCCATGGTTGATTGACTAGCGCAATCTATCTTAGAGAAGTCGCGGCAGATGCTAGCCTGGGACATTGAAATCCAATGCCTGCAATTGTTTGAAGTTAATATCTTCAAATCTGTAATTTTTACATATTGTCAGCAAAAAGGAAACGACAAATTTTTCTGCGCAACTTTTTTTCATAACTTCTGAGCTCATGTTCCTTCACTCTTGCTCCATCTGGACAAACTCTGCAACCTGAGCTGAATTTTCGAATATTTGCAGAGGCACGTCTTAGCTCTTGTGTCAAATGTATATCTGATGTGTTAGTTTGTCGTTTGCAGAAGTGTGGATCGGGAAGTGCCAGAAGGTAATATTAAAGTTCCTAAAGCTCACTGAGTTCTCTTCGTGGCATTTCTGTAACCCTGCGAATATTGGGCGGGCAGGCAAAATACTCCATGCAAACACGTTGGGGAGATAGCGGAGGAACGTGTTGAACCCTGGACATTGGATTCGTAGTGCAATTTTCAGTTAGTTTGGATTAAAAGTCCCATGTATATAGCATGTTCAAACTCAAATTTTCCCAGAATTCTGGGGTTCAAATTGTGTCTTGTGTTCCAAATTTTCATAAAGTTAAAAATTGTAGTTTACGTTATTAGTCCTTTGGTGCGATCCATGAGTTGTGTATGGGATGTCCAAGCGAGCAGTATGAGCTTCGTTCCTCTTTAGTTCCTTAACAAAACAGATGGTGGAAACATGCAGGTGAGTATGAACACCTTCTGAAGTCTTTCTGTTGAAGTTGTGCTTCCTCTCTATCCCTGTCATCTCTGGTATGTTCTCACTTGGTCAATACTTGTTCTACAAGGCAAGCCATGCCAGCAGAGTACTCAATTTTCCACCAAAGATGTGTACAGATGAGAGACACGTTAAGTAGCAATATCTTGAGGCTCATTGTGCAGCTTTTATGTTCCGCTCATCACGTATTCACTCACACATTCGGATGTATCGGAATTAGATTCATTTCACGAATGTCTCAGTTTTGAATTCGGTTTCTATTCACGTATACCAGGTCAAAAAGAGTGACCAGCAAATTCCGAATCGTCTCCTGTGGGAAGCTTCCTCCGACACAACATGTTCAGGTCACCCAATATCTGTTCGCTCAACTCTGCACCACAATGCGACTAGAGTGCTCCAGTAAACTGAACAAAGACAAGAAGACACACGTCCAAAACGAAGAATTGAAACACATCACGAATACTCTGCAAGAGGGACTGGATTGAATATTTAAGCCAAAACAGCTGCTGCGGAAGAATCCCATCTCACTATTTACAAGATTCCTAGAAATAATCCCATCTCACTAACTGCAAAATTCCGAGGATCAAAATCCGCTCAATCTTGGCCGCTTGCAAGAATCCTCACATTCTTCTCAATGAGCAGTTGCCGGGACTCCGCATTAATTTCCTTTGTAACCGTCATCCTGCAGTTCTTTACACATGCAGTAGAGCACTCTACATTCCCCTTTTCCGCTTTGTAATGCCACTGCTCATTCAAACATGTCTATAAGTCCTCGGAGATTGGCACCAGTCCCTCGATGTGCGCTATTGAGAAGAAGGGGAATAAGCAGCAATAAGCGCACAACTTCTCGGAGCTCTGCTTCTTCTCCTGCTGCATTAGTCAACGTACCAGTTGGGTTCCAGTTCGTCGATCCTCCATCACCTTGACCACCAATCCTCACTCTTGAGAAACAGAGACCAAAAACTATTTCCTCGGAGGAAGTAAAAGCTTAGAAACTGTCTCCCACGAATTGAGAAGCAAAGCAAGCCTGCTGTGAGGATACTCGAAGAGGTTCGAACCGATTCGACCCACAAACAGAGCGACAGGCGTAGCAACAAAATATGATCCATCTCGTCGAATTTCGCCGACTTATAAACAGGATCCATGTCTGCATGCACCAAGGCTCTGTTTGCAAGCAGTCTGAGACGAAGACGGAGTGAAGGTCACAAGTCGGCAGAGATTTACCTACGTCGAGGGGGAGGGGGAGGGGATACGGTGAAGTCTGGTGCGAGGAAGAGGGGCGGTTGAGTGGCCGTGGATTGTTGGCAATCTCCATGCAGATCAGAAAGCTTTGTTTCGATTTTCAACCCTCGTCGGTCTCGCCGGTGCATTTGCACTACGAAGTCGTGATTGGGCAGCGGCATCGAGGTTGGCGGCGTAGTCCTGCCGACTCGCCTTGCAGCCCGCAAAGTCTGCACTACCAGGACTTCATCGCTATCAGAACTTCATTGAATGGATAGACTGACGAATTTCATCGAATGAATATCATCGATGGACGGAGAATGGACTCTTCCGTAGCGTATGTGGGGGTGTATATATATATACATATATACATAAAAAATTAATTTTTTTGTTTGTTAGTTTGTTTGTTTTTTTCAAACAAACATGTGATAGAGGATTTTTTGATATCTTTAATATCTCTTTTTTGGTGTGAACAAAGGTTAATGAATTAACACCTGATTTTAATTTAAGTAAAAATTATAATCAATGAGCATTATGTGGTTAATTTTAAGTTTGCATTTTAAAAACTTTCACAATATTAATTTTGAAATAAATATTAATTTAAAAATAAGAAAAAATATATGTATATATATATATATATATATATATTAATCTAATCTTTATATAATCAAGACGTTATTCTTTAACTATGACTACAATTAAGAATCAAATCAGTAACAAAACTTGATTAGAATAAACTATTGAGAGATTACATTTTTTTATAAATTGAGATATTTTTAGATTATAGAAAATAATTAAATATCAAGACAAATAAGATTATAACTTCTGTTGATAATATTTATTTTAAACTATATATAAATTAAAAAAATAAATAAATTTATTACTTCACTATAAGGTAATTATATCTTTAATAAATATTTATATAAATATTTATGATATATACATAAATTTATTTAAAAAATAAGAATATTTAATAACCTATTTAAAATAATTATTCAGCTATTATTTATTGTAATTTTTAAAAAATACATACGAAACTCATCTTCTAAGAAAGGTTTCTATTTTACTTTATAATTTAATAGAATTATAGATTTAAAAAAAATTATTAAAATATATTAAAATTATTTTAGTATATCCATATCCAAATAGAAAATTAATCTAAACAACTTCGATAGTATTATTATTATTAACTTATGTTTAGTTTACTATAAAAATATAAACTATCTTTACGTATTTATTTTTGAATATTTCAGTAATTATAAATAAAGATATTTTTGAATATTTTATTGATATTTAATTAATAATCAAGTTATTTATTCAAAAAAATATGTTTATGTATATGTATATGTATATATATATATATATATATATATATATATTGTAGTTGCTATCATAAATAAAATAGTTTCTATTATGTATTTTTAATTTAAATAAAGTATATTTTTATCAAATTAAATAGTATTGATAATTATAGAAAAAAATTATGTAATAATATTTATTAATGTGAGTCTAATATGTTTTAGTAGTTGGATGAAAATAGAAATCAAGAAGATTCATTCTATAGGATGTAATAGTTTCTTATATTAAATTATGTACTTAGATTTTTTTTTAATCATGGAGAATTAAAATTATTATTTATTAAATTTATATTTTATATTTTATTATATTATAATATGAAAATATTTTCTTAATTCTTTTAAATAAGATGATGCAAGATAATCTCATTACAAGTTTGTGTATGTATTCCAATAAGTCTACTCTAAATTTATTAAATAGCTCTTATTATTTTACATGTTATTACAATCATTACTGCATATTCACAGTATTTTTTAACAATTAAATATCTCATAAACAATCATTTTTTTGATTCTTTGTTTTACTTTGTTTTAATTTTAATACTGTGATTTTAATGAAATGTTAGGTGAACATTCTTTTTTTACTGGATGGACATTCTCTTGTGATTTCTTTAATTTATTAAGAATTTTCTTCTCAATATAATTGTTGAAATACTCTCAATAACTATTGTAATATTTTATAAAAAATAATTGCATAATTTCTTTTCATTTTAAATTTTAAATTTTTTAAATATTGAACATACATCTAAATTTTGTTATATGATATCAATAATTTCTACATAAAATAATTACATCAATTTATTTTTTATTTATTTTATTATAATCCTTTTCAATAGTAAAAATATAATCATTAAAAAATTCATATACAAATAATATTGTTGTATGTATACAAGAGAGTGTGGTGTGGGAGTGTCTATATAATAAAAGGGAGTTGTCCACCTAGTGGTTTTATAATCTTATTTTAATCTTGATTTTATAAAAAAGAGAAAAAGAAAATCAAATAGAAAACAAAGCTTACAAGTTTAATTAGTCAAAAAAAAAAGAAACTAAAGAAATTCTTCTTTAATATTACTTACAAATGAATAAAAATAAATCTTATTAAATATTTAATAAAATTAATATATTTTTTAAACTATAAATTTTTATTTTATAAGCATCTTAAGCTACAATAGTCATATCATAAATATCTTGTCAATAATCTTAACAAGACATTAAAATAATATATTTCTATTATTTTACTTATTTCTTTTTTTACCATTTAATTTGAAGACTTAAATTCTTGTAATTTTTAGTTAATTGAATCATATACATGAATTGTGATGTGATAAAAAAATGTCGATGGAGATTGATGCAAAAATATAGGAAAAATATAATATATATTCCTAAAATATATTGAAATAATAAGAAAATCCATCTATTCTTAATGATAGCAAATCTATCCCTCACTTTTGTAATAATATCAAATGTATCCTTTAACCTAATAAGTTTTTACAACTATTCTTTTTTAAAGACAATTGAGGCCTAATTTGCATGATGTGGAGAAATTTGCAAGCCCTCTGTACCAATAGGAACTATTGTTTGGCAACATTGGCCATATTAACTTATCTTCCTAAGAATTCTTCATGTACGTGTTGAATCAAAGAATAACTTTGAAGATTAAAATAATAAAAATCTATCAATTGATAAAGAAGTTTGTTAAGGCTTGCAAGCCAAATTAGACACTAAACTACAACCTTATCAAGACAAAAATTCTACTACTAATGAACATACTTGTGTAGAAGCCAATCAACATAGTAGCACTTATTTATGGATTGTTCACTTTGATTGTCATCCATAAGTTTGATGTTATTTTCCCTATTACAAAAAGAACTTGAAAGATGATTCATGCCCAAAACATCAACCAACCTCAAGCCACTCAAACCTACTCAAAATAAATGAACTAGCCCTAGTCTCCAATCTCTTGCTCCTTGTGGCATGTCAATTGGGTTGTAAGAGCTCCTACTACATGCACAATTTTTTTTTGATTCCCTCTTCTTGTATCAAGAACAAGAACTTGATGGAATCAAATAAACAAGTGAGACTTTTCTCAAAGAAGTATGACAAAATAGAAGTAAAAAAATATGTATATTAAAAGGAAATTGGAATGACTATTGCAAAAAGACAAGAAAACTAAAGACTCTTGAATCTAAACTAAAGCAAGAAAAAAATTGACAAGAGTGAAGAAGGCTTCATTCTTGCCTCTACATATACTATCCACCTAGGAGTTACATGGTGACATTCTATGGGACCTCCAACATATGTTGACTTTGCAAGCCACATGTCTTAACTTGTAAGGTAAGTTTTCTATGTGTCTGCCACATAATTAGTTTGTTCCACAAGCTATTTGCACATGTGACACATGGCAACTTGTTAACCAAGTTTCTAATCTAAAAGTCAGCTAATAAATATGTGTAAAGTCAAAATTGGATCTAGAAGATATTATGAAATTAATCTATTTTTATCTACTTTTACTTACTTCTATCTAATCATATAGATAATTACTAGAGTAAGTATGTATATCTGTGGTAGTATGTCTGTGATACCTTGATCTTGCCAAACTTAAATTTTGTAGCATAGTCTTGCTACAAAATTGGTCTGCAATCCATTAAACATTAATTCAACAATTGTTGCTAATTCTTGATTCTCCTCTACTTTGTGTTAGTTGATGGTGCTTTTAGTGTCTTTTTGCATTTATGAGATCTCTAAATCCAAGGCCTTCTTTGAAAAAGGCATCATAAGTTCTTAATTGTGCTATTGCTCTTCTTTCCATCATCTTGAGAAAAGCAATCATTCTAGCTTGGCATAGCCAGTGTTGCTGAACATCAATTCCTTATGCCAAAGAGAAATCGCCAATTTCTCCATAGCACAAAGGTTGGGTCCTATTTGCACTTAAAAAAAAATAGTTGTAATACTTTATCGAGTTCAAGAGGAGATTTGATATTATCACAAAAGTAACAAGTAGATTTGCAAATATCAAGAATATAAGGGTATTCTAGAAACTTCAACGTATTTCAAGGATATATGTGATATTTTTCCAAAAATGTATGGTTTGTTTAGATCTTGTAACATATTCAAAACAAAAGATGGCATGATTATTACCATGTCTTTTACAAAGTATAAGGTTATTACAAATATGATTAGTTGTAGCACAATAATTTCACCCTAGCCACACAAAAGTTCAATAATGTAAAGAAGTTTTTTTGGATGATTGAGAAAACTTATACAAGAATTTCATATCAGCCCATGCTAAACAGAAGATTTCAAATCAGAGAAACCACTTGAAAAATAACAATACATTACTACGTTGCACTCCAATGTAGCTCATGTTCGGTTCAACAGTTAAGTTGTAGAACTTACAACCATCATTTAGTTCTATTAAGTGTATGACATGGGCTATTCATAAATGATGGGGAATACAGTTTGAGTCAACTTCAAAAACCATCTCAGCTTCATAAGGAGTCGTAGAAAGTACCAGAAGATTATCTCTACGTGTATAAAGTCCGAACACCACCGTATATGGACTCGGACCATGGAGATAGCTTGCATTGAATGAGCAGAGCGAACTGAACTAGGGATTTTCGTATTTGAGCAACAGGGCAGATAGGCAGGCCACCTACTTGAGAGATTTTTTCAAAGAACAATATAACCAACACAACAGCTGACTTAAGAATCAGGGCAAGTAACAAGTATATAGGAGAAGATTTAAGAATGAGCAGAACGTTGACGTAAATTGTTACATCAATGGACTTAGAAAATGTGACATCTCTTTCGAAGGCATCCGGCCAGCAAGTACTGAAAGGCCTTCCTACCTATCTCCAGGACAGCTTCCCATAAATACAAGCAGAAATGGACTATTTCTACAGAATAGAACATAGATGGAATAAGCACTGATGCTGAGATGTGCAGATCCTGACATGTACAGTTAAATATTTATATAATCTCAATGCTCATCAAAAGTTTCCTTTGCGTGGTGCACGTTGTGCACGCTACTAAATTACATTCCTTCGTGGAAAAAGCCGCTTACATTAAACAGCACATGCTCCAAAATTGGCTTCTTAAACCATATCAGATCCTGGATCATATTGGTTATAACCCCTGGGGGGAGAAAGGGGTGGGATACCTGCATCCTTTTTGGACCTCACTGGTTTACTCCTTTCCCCAACAGGCAAGGATCTAGCAGGCGGTAGATCTTGCTTCATCACGGGCATGATTACCTGCTCCTTAGAACGCCTTTTGCCGAGATTACATAAATTTTGTGCTACAGCACGCATTTTTGGTCTCCGTGCCCCCATGGGTCCAACGCATTTGTAAGCTATGTTTGCCATGTCACCCAGTTCTTCAAGATTACAATTTCCACTCATTCGTGAATCCATTATTTCTGCCCAATCCTCCTTGGTTTCCATACCCATTGCTGCCTGCACGAACATTTCACATCTTCCTCAATTGAAAAGAAAAGATAAGAATTTTAATCAGTGATTAATGTCTAGAACCAGAGCTCTTTTCTATTAAGATTCTTCAGGTGGACGTCTACAATACATCACGATGAGAACTTGAGGTTGAGTGAGGCCAATACTAGGTGTACGTAGTCCAGTAACCCTTGTTGGGGGTTACGAGCAGTGATTAGCTCAAAAAGAAGAACGCCAAAGCTATACACATCACTCTTTTCAGTGAAGGAGTTTGTAGACATGTACTCAGGGTCAACATATCCAAATGTTCCCTTCACGCCTGAAACTATATTCGGTGAGTCTGTCGCCTTTGAAAGTCCAAAGTCTGCAACCTGCAGTCATCATTCGACTTAAGCTCGAACTATAGTGCCCATTTCTGAACTCAACTAATTGGTAGTCCACAGCAACAGACTTCAAAATTATCATTAAGTAAGAAATAAATTGAAATAAACATGTAAGTGGGGAACCACGACAAAGAGGAAGAAATGAAAGAAGAAAAAAATAGATTTGATTTAAGTCGTACCCTAGCAGTCATGGTCGCGTCCAACAGAATATTTGCAGATTTGATATCGCGATGAACAACAGGTGGAGTGGCCTGCCAATGCCCCGAGATAGTGAAATGTCAAGCAATTTTCTACAGCACTAGATTCAGAATGCATGTGAATCCAACTATATACATGGGAAAATAAATCGCTGAACATACATTCTATTGGCTATTTAAACAAGTTGAAAAAAAGGTGAGACATACTCACTCCTTCATGAAGATATTCGAGCCCTCTAGAAATGTCTTGAGCTATAAGCACCCGTTGGTCCCAACTCAAAGGTTCACTGTTCTGATCTGAAATGCCCTCTTAATGTCAGATTTAGCACATGATTCACAATGCATAAAGTTTTTCACTCAACGCTGACGTATCCAAATTTGGCTTTAGTACTGCTCAAGTTCTCAATCGTATGATTACAAAACGCTGATACTAAAGATCACAAACATTTATCCTTTCACTTTCTCCATACCTGGGACAGACATTGTTCGTTCAACTACTAACTACATAACCTAGGAAAACAGATATAAAACGAGCTCAGTTGCATGTACAACAAGGGCAAGTGATCCCACGTTGCTTAGTGAAGAAACTTACCAAGTAGCTTTTGCTGAAGACTGCCGTTATGCATGTATTCATACACTAATATCCTCTGATTCTTTTCTTCACAATACCCCACCAAGTTAACTAAATTGCGATGATGCAACCGTCCAAGAAGCATCACCTAAACAAAAACATTTGCATAAAAATTATAGGCTAATCGATAACGTACTTACGCCATATCCTCCAAATACTCAATCGAATCAAGATAATGAGGAAAGAAGAAGTAAAGCCCACTGTGATGGTCGTAACTTGTTAAGGATTCCCTAGTTCAAATTAAGTCCAACAAGTACTTGGAGTAAAATGTCAGCACGCTGGGTTCACGTTGTCTGCAGCCCTGCTAACAACTCTTAAGAGTAAACACACTATGACAATCTCTGAAAGTGCCGACAAGACCAATGAAGTAGCGTCACGCACCTCGTTCTGAAATTCTTTATCCCCTTGTTTTGACTGTTCAGCCAAAACTTTGACCGCGAGAGTAGTTCCAGTGGACTGCAGCACAGCTTTATAAACTGGACCAAACGCGCCTTGTCCTACGAGGGCAGTGAAGTTCGATGTCGCCTTGTGAAGCTCCCTGCAAGCAAGCAGATTCATGTAGGAGTTGAAGGAGCGAAGTATGACAGCATTATGTACAGTTTCAAGATACATACGACGAAGGAATTTTCAAAGTAAATTTGACTGAGGGGCAAGCTAGAAAACTGCAAAACGAAAAAAACATATGCGTTCCACATTTTATTGACAAAAAAGCTCACTGTAATCGTTCTTTCATCTCTCTAAGCAAATGAAATCTTACTTGTAAGTGAACTTTGTTACCCCCAGTGAGGATGGAATAAGCTGTTTTTCCTGGCCTCCCCACCAAGAGTTACCCTTGCTAGCAACATTAGCTGGAGGAGAGGAAACGGAATCAGACATGATAGTGCTAGAATTAACGCCATTGACGCGTATCGGCAATACAAAGCCCCGGCGTGAGCTCCCTCTTTTCTTTAGTCGTTTCCTCCGACATCCAAGGCACAACACTACGCAGGAGGCTATAATTACTCCTATGAAAACTCCAATAGAGATCCCAATGATCACTCCGATCGATAAGGAACCATTAGAAGAGGGTGAAGTAGCACTAGGAGCTGATCCAGAAGCGGGGGGCGAGGAGGCTGCAGTTCCTGCCATTCACTTGACCTGCTGAACCCTGCTATAGATGACAACACAACCAAGAGGGTTCAGAGATGAATACGTGGGCACCTCTGTACTAGATGCAAGAAGTTGAACTCAGGTAAACGCAGAAAATACCCTCACGCCACGCCCCAAGACAAAAATGCTTTATACTATTCACCAGATTACCGAAAACAACGAAAACTTTTAGCATCCTTGACAGTCCTCTGCAGAATTATCAAATATGAAAGACAGAACATAGGAAATAAGCTGAGTTTTGAGAGACAGTATTTCAAGTTCGTACTCGAGATTCAGCAGAATGACCAAAGCGCGGTAACACAGCACCAAATGCAAGTATCACCCCAATGACAATGTACTCAGAACCTTGTGCCAATCAACAACGGGTGGCTTTCAATACAAGATTTACAGGAGTAATGATAGCATGCAGGCTTGACCATGAGCCCTGCTGCAGGCCACTAATGACATTACAAACTGAGTTTAAAAGATCACTGCTTCAAGGATGTGAACCTACTACATTGATAAAATTACGATGGAAAGATTCAGACAAAATTGAATTCCTTAAATCTAGCCTAAATTCAAAAGTTAAGCTGAACAGAGAGCAGGATCACAGTGAACAATAGAACGCGAATTATCAAATAGCATGTTTCGGACGGCAACCTAGTTTGACAATAGGACAACTCTTGTAAATCTCCAATTGGTTGACGCGAGAAACCCGAAAGAAGGTCTGGTTTGGAACAGAACGCAATTGTATGAATGATAGCCAGTTATATATCATAACCGTCGACCAATTGCTACAGCCTAACTCTGCCTCAATATGCCACACAAATATTTGTCCGACCTAATTCTGAGCCAAAGAAAAGGGAATAAGAATACGGTTTTAAAAGTTCGTATGGGAAATCAATCCGAAATAGAATGAACAAGTGAGTTGCAGATTACAGAAGGGAATTGAAGGGGAGGATTATCAAACGCATACTTATTAATAATATGAACTGAGGCCGTATCCACCTCATTAAAACCTCGTACTTCCCAATTGTGCCGATCACCCAAAGCCCTATTGATTTTCTTAAGCGAGGAACTATCCCATGAAGGGAATCGTATGAGCACTTTCAGAACGGAGAGGTACGCGCAACTCGGATGTACCAAAACTTCTAACGGTATCTTTGGCAGCTCCAACCTGTTCCTCATGACTAGCGCCAAGAGCATGAAAAAAATCTTTGTCTCACGTTCTTGTTCAGTTAATAAGTGAATCAAGCGCGTCTAGCACTTTTGAAATCTAACCTTGGTCTTGTCTCATGGAAGAAAAAAAGCGCCACACGCATAAACGCAATCCTCCAAAGTCGTAGCTGCCACAAGAACACAGAGCTCCTGCAAATCCAAGACCTGGCTTTTCCCCAAATGATTTAAACCTTCCAAAAAAGTAACCAAACTAAGGACACGGCTGTTGAAAATGGCTGTGAACATCAGCGAAACTCCGGATCTCTCTCTTTCTCTCTCGCTCCGACTACCTCCGCGCATTTAACTTCAAGTACCACTAAAACTGTATCTAGTGTACTACACAAGCTCAACGTTTGAAATACGCGTAGGCACTCCCCAAAATGATCCTCTACGACAAACCGAATTAGACATCCTCAAACCAAGATATCATTAAGCCAAACTCAGCAAATTGAAGAGAATCCTAAATTCCTACGCAGCGACCCTCAACGTCATCGGTCCTGCACTTCCCCACACCTAGACTACCCAAACTCCCGCAGTTACACTCCAGTGATACCCCCAAAAATTCGAGAAAACGAGGTTATGTGAAATTCACTGCCAGAGGACCCCACAAAAGAACACCAAAGAACACACAAATCCACATGCAAGGACATGTCCCACCAGCGCAAGCCGCCCTCATACTCACAACTCCCCCTAACAGTCCTCGATCTCTGCTCCTCATCTGTATCTGGACAAGCAAGCAACAACAGTCGGCCTTTGGCAACAACACCAGTCTCGGTCATGAAGCTCTCGAGCTCCCTGCTCCGACAGAAAAAAACCTCGAAACCCTTCCCCACCGTGCACACTTCCGAGCACCCAGATCTGACCCCATTCTTGAGACGTACTCTGGCATAGACAAACCTCGGGACAAAGCTCAATCTTTTGGCTAAGTTTTACGGTAGGGGTTTGTGAGGAGAGGAATGACGCTTCTGCTGTGCGACATTTTCAAATTCAAAAGAGGGGTGGTCTGTTTTTACGAAAGCGGTAGAAAAAAGGGAGGATTATTGAAATTAGCGTAACAAGGGGGATTTATTAGCAGGGTGGTGCAACGTCGTTGTTGTATCCCCTGCCTGTGAATTTACTGTGTTGTGTGAACATTTCACCACCGAATGGGTCGCTCTCCGTCCTGGTCCTGTCTCTCATTTTACCGTTGTTTCCACGGAAGTCATGCTGATAATAAAAACACAAATAAAAGCGAAGTGAGCGATGTCTAGGAACAGCAAGCTTTTTTGCAGAAGCGAGCTCGCTGGGAAGGCTGAACCCAGACCAGCCCAGTGGATGCAGCAAATTGTCTATTTATCGAACCATCATTTTCCTTTTCCTTCCAAAAAAAAACGACACTGAATTATGAAGGGTAAATAAAGCAGATGCCCATTAACAGAGGTTGAGCTAGAAGATAACCGCGGTAGCTGGCTGCTCGTAATGTGGGGCTCAACATGAGTGTGGCAAATTTGCAACCTGGGAATTCTTCAAATTAAGGCTGCTCATCCAATGATTCCTGCCACATTCCCCTGTTTCTAGCCTGGACCACGCGAACATGCACGCCATTGATCCCCCCCCCCCCCCCCCGGCCAGTTCCTCCATAATCCTACGGAGGTGTGGGTTCTCTTTCCTGTTTTTAGAGTTATGATTCCACGTGAAGATCGACTATAGCTTTGGCCACATTCGGCACTGTAGCGCCATTTCAGTGCTCCTCGTCCGCTACTGTACAATTACTGGGGCACGGCGCATAAACCAAGCGGTCCACGACGATCTCGACTAGATTGTTTGGTTTTATTTTATGGTAGGATTCACGCTAGCATGAGGCCGCAGTGGCCGAGCACATCGAATGCCGCGTGCTCGTTGCCCTCCCACCCCAAACCCCTCACACCCAAACCCTAAATCTTATATCTTTGTTTGTTTGTTTTTGTTTTTGTTTTTTTTTCATTTTCGCATCATCACAGGAAGTTTTTCAAAGCTGCCATGCTCAACATCGTCCCTGTTGCTGGACTATTTGTTTGTGTTGGTTGCGGTTTTACTGCCATTCTCGTTGTATTATAATTGTCGTGTAGGTGAAGAACTTGTGAACATGTTTGTGTGATTTTAGGTTAAAGTGTAATTGGTGTGTGAGTGTTTATTTTTTTGACTCAAAACGTCCCAATGTTGTGAGTCCCGCCTCCTGAAGCACTCACAATGCTTGAAAATGGAATAGGGTTCTTTTTCTTTTTCTTTAAAATTATTTTAAATTTGATTTTTCAAAGTAAAAATTATATACATATATATATATATATATATATTAGCACATACATATATTTAGAATGTATGGTGTTGTAAGAATTAAGACAAATTATTGGCTAACTTGTTTAATTTATTTAAATGGATTTATATTTGTTTAGCATAATGTAATTATATTCTTAAAAAAATATCAAATATAGCCCTCAAAATATGCTGAATTATCAAGAATATTCATATATTTTTTATACATCTACTCCTCATTTTTGTGATAATATCAAACCAATCCTTGAATATGATAACATATCACCACTCTTCTTTTTTAAGTAGCATTTGGGGCCAAAATTGTATGATGTGCAAAATTTGGCACTACCTTTCTTGGCACTTTTTGGCACATTTCACCTCCTTTTCTTATATTGATGTTTGCATGCCATGCAAATTTTGCCATGATAGATAGAAAATTGAAATAAATGATTGAAGATAGGTCATGGTAAGATGACTTGTGCATTGTGAGTGTAACATGGTATAAATAAGATATTTATATTGTTGACGCATAGGAATAGTGTCACGGACACAGAAATTCACACTCGAGATCTAATAAGAAGTTCAAGAAGAATTGGCAAGAACTAGATTAATTAGATGAATACAAGAACAACACCAAAGACGTGAGCTAGAGCTCCAAGAGATGTGTTGTCGAGACTGAAGAAATCTTCAGCCTCGATTCCAATATATACTCTTATTTAGGAAGCTTTTCAAGCAACTTCTACCAACTAGGAAGCTTCTAGAAGGTTCTAGAGACTTGCTTCTAAAAGGTTCTAGAAACTTATCTCTAGAAGGTTCTAAGGACTATGTCCCTAACATCTTCTACCAACTAAGAAGCTTCTAGAAGGTTCCAGAGACTTGCTTCTAGAAGGTTCTACAAACTTGTCTCTAGAAGGTTCTAAGGACTATGTCCCTAACATCACCCCCTCTTTTAGCTTCGAGGTCTTTGAGAAGTAATGTTGTTGTTAATCAGTACCAACGCAAGAAAATGAAGATCTATTGCATGACGTCTACTATAAACTCCAACTGTTGTTCACGAGACAAGTGGTTCATCGGCCCTTGAAGCCAACGGTAGTGGCCCACTCCTTCAACTTCTGACCAAGCATGAACTTCCATGTTCTCATTGTGAAATTGTCCTGCAAACACGCCTTCTGGCTGACCATCATAAGCAGGCTCAGACTCAAATACAATCACCAGTGATCAGTTACTCAGTATCCTCCGTCGTCGTCTTGGTGTAGGCGGTTCTTCATCTCGGGGTCGCCTTCGTGAGCTAATCGGTTGAGATAGTCTGATTGGCATAATATTTATCTCTTGGCTATCCATATCAGAAGACCAAACTATGGCTACTGAAAAAATTCTATTTTATCTTGGAGAAAATAACTACATCAACTACGAATTTTGGTAGTGCTCTCACCCTTTCTTATATTCTTGGGTGAGCAAGCTTCAGAAGGAAGCTATCGTCGAACCGGCTTAGATTTATGAAGATATTGTTGATGAAACTCCTGTATCTTTTGTGGCGCATTGGCGAGATTTTCAGCTGGCTCCCATGTTCGCTCATTAATGTTGTAGCCACACCAATGAACAAGATACTCCAACTTGTCCCACCTTTGCCGTGAATCCAGTACCTTTTCAACCTCGTATTCCTCGTGGTTCTCGATCTCAATACTAGGTGGCGAACATTGCACTCTTCTAGGAAAAGACGACTCTCGATAAGGCTCCAACAAAGAAACATAAAAGACTGGATGTACCTTCATAGAAGCCAGTAATTCGAGACGGTACGCCACTGGATTGATTTGCTTCTGGATGATAAATGGTCCCAATCTTTGATAGTCCAACTTATCACATGGTCGCTTGGTCTTGATATTCCGTCGAAGAAGCCATGCTTTATCTCCAATTTTGAAAGTAGGTGCTTGATTTCGAAATCTATTTGCAGATACCTTGTAGGATTCTTGAGCGGATTGTAATTGAAGCTTCAATATATTTTGAAGCTCTGATAGTTGTTTCGCAAATCTTTCACCTGTTAGATTGTTATTTGTTGACGGACTCAATAAATCAAGCTTCGGATGATACCCATAGTTGGAAAAGAATGGTGTGTATTGAGTCGACGCATGAAGGGTGTTGTTATATGTAAACTCGGCTAGCGGCAGATATGTGGTCCAATCGTCTTGGTGATAGTTGATGCTGCATCGTAAGTATTGTTCCAAGACTTAGTTCACTTGTTCCGTTTGGCCGACAGTTTGAGGATGAAAAGCCAAAGAAAGCTTGATATCCACCTTCAGTATGTCAAAGAGAGATCTCCAAAACTTTGATACAAATTGGGTTCCTCGATCTGATAAGATATCATCTGGTAGTCCATGATATCGATACACATTATCAAAAAAGAGCCTTGCTATGACTTTACTGGATGATGTCTTCTTGCAAGGGACAAAGTGCGCCATCTTTGTAAGCCGATCTACCACGACAAAGATGCTGTCAAATGAGTTCGATGATGGCAGGTCCATGATGAAGTCGATGGAAATTAAAGACCATGGTCGACGTGGAATCAGCAATGGCTATAAGAGTCCATAAGGGCGATGTTGAGGATTCTTGGATCTTGAATAGATGTCGTAGGAGAGGACAAAATCTTTCACATCCTTCCACATTTGGGGCCACCAAAAATCTCGAGAAATAAGCTCCAAGGTCTTGTTGAATCCAAAATGTCCCGCAGCTGGAAAATCATGGCGAGATTGAAGAACTCGGAGTTGTGCTGGTCCTTTTGGGATATATAACCGCTCTTCAAAGTATAAAAGATCTCCCTCTACCTTGAACTTGTCGTCATTGGAACACTGCTTAATATCAATGGTTATTGAATCTTCAATGGTCACAGTATGTACCTGATTTAAGAAGTCAACATCAATTGGCACAATAGTAGCACAAAGCTGAAATTGCTCTGGCTTCAACAATGTCATACATTATTGATCAAACGCTGCTTCTCCAGCCTTTGGTACAAGATACGATCTTCTTGATAAGGCATCTGATAGTCCTTGTTGCTTTTTAGGTCGATAAGTGATAATAAAATCGAACCTAGATAGCAATATACTCCACCGAGCTTGACGTTGATTTGGAACTCGAGCCGACATGAAATACTCCAAATTCTTGTGATCTGTGTATACGATCACTGGATGTGTAGTTCCTTCAAGAAAGTGACGCCATTCTTGAAAAGAATCTACAATAGCAAGAAGTTCCTTATTGTGGATCTCATAATTGATTTCAACAGCAGAGAACTTTCGAGAATAGAATGCAACCAAATGGAGCTTCTTGTCTTCTCCCATTTGTGAAAGTATAGCTCCCAAAGTAAAATCTGAAGTACCAGTTTTTAAATAAAAGGCCTTTGTAAAGTCTAGATGTACCAAGATTGGAGCCATAGTAAATGCGGTCTTCAGGTCTTGAAACGCCTTCTCCGCTAGAGGTCCTTATTCCAGCTTATCCTTGCATGTCAATCGAGTGAGACGAGCAGCAATTTGAGAGTAATTCTTGATGAAGATCCGATAGAAGTTGGCAAAACCAAGAAAGCATTGTATATCTCTAACTGTCTTCGGAACCTCCCAAGACACGATTGCTTCCACCTTCTTAGGGTCCATCTTCAAGCCTTCTGTAGTCGCAACAAACCCCAGAAACTCCATCTCTATTTGGTGAAATAAACACTTCTCCAACTTGGCATATAGTCCTCGCTTACGTAGTTTCTCCAAGACCAAACGAACGTGCTT